TCAAAACTGTAATTTACAAGCATAGAATATTCAAGCGTATAAAGTTTGTAAATTACTTAGGTACCTACCATTCGATTATTAGTGGACTTGACAAGTCTAACATTAGTTATTATTTGTTGATTGAAAAATTGGAGAAAATACAAAATTAATAGATAGATACTAGAAGCGAAAAAAAATGGCCTATGGAATAATATAGGTATTATGATAATATAATAATACAATTTTATCATAATATATACTATACCTAACTATTGACTCTACAGGGGTAAACATTTTTATTTGGCAATGAGTTCCAAAATAATAAAATTACATTCTCGTTAGGCATCTTTAATATTTTACTCGATCGTATTGTATCTGGCAGCAGTGGTTTATTTAAGGGGGGGATTACGAGGCGATTACCCCCCCCCCCCCCAAAAAAAAAGTGGTTTTTTTTTACTTGGATTATAACACCGTATGATATAATGAATATGAAATTCATAAGTCATAACTATAACTTCAAACTTTATAAATGATGCAAAAAAGCTATTTTTTTTGAATATCTTATCAATTATATTATTATTTGATTATCAATACAAATTATTGAATTTAAATAACATGATTATGTTCAAAATAAATATGAAATTGGTTATAACCATAGTCCATAGATAATAAAAGAATATTTTCTTGGTTATAACCAAAATTGCTGTAGACAACTTGCTTCGGTTATAGTTTTAGATTATAGATAGAATGACAGATAAAATCATTTTACCGCCAAGCAGTGCTGCACCGTGCTGCACCGCCGTATAAATCTGTTGGGGAACGGAAAAAAAGTTCATAAAACTATTAAAATAATTTTTTAAAGTTACAGCAATAACAATTTATAAATAACAATTTATGCAACTAGGATTTTTATAATTATGTAATGAACTGTAATTTTCTGTTTTGTATTTAGTAGTTACCTATTATATGATTACATAATTATTAGATATTATCTTTAGAAAACAGACTTTTTACCCCCAAGACTTATTTTCCCCGTAGACTTTTTTTCCTGATACTTTATTCCCCGAGACTTTTTTCCTACCATCAAATCTGTTATTACTTCATTTTTATAAAATAAATTAAATATTTTGTTCACTGTGACTGTGGTCAATAACTCAATTTTAATATTGAGTAATGAATACTTTATTTTCATTGTTCATTAACAGATTTAAGGCTGGTAAAAAAAGAACCATATTATCTACAATTATTGCTCAAATAAATGATTAATACATTTGTTTATTTAATATTGAATAAAAGACTGTTGAATTTTTCTACGGTTAAATTTTTTTTTTTATATATAACATACGTTTATTGACTAATATGTATATATTGAAATTCTATGATACCAATTCACCTCCTGTCCTCCTCCTTAAATGAGCTTCAGATCCGCTACTGTTTTGCACCATCAATAGCAGTGACATAAATTATAAAAATTTATTTATTTATCAAACATTATATTATACTAGCTGATCCCGTGCACTTCGTCACCCGTTAAATGTATCAACTCAATATGACTCAAACTTTGTTCAATTCGTTATTCAATATTCGGTGTATGGTGTTCAAAATTGATCTTATCTTTTCCGCTGCCCGGAATAAAAATTCTGAATCGCAGCAGTACATTATCAGGTAGGCAATCTACCTGCGGACCCTGTGCTGTTTGTACGGAAGTGTATGATTTAACTCTAAAGTATCAAAGTTATACCAAGTTTATTTTGATATAATACGGTGGATTAATATAACAAATTTGGTTTCTCGTACAAAATCGCAACTATTAAAAAAATTATGATTGTTGAACTCCTTTTGGGTGTAACTTGCTGCGGTAAGTGCAACTCAGCCACCCTGGTAGGCAATGTTCAATAATTCGATTTGATGCAAGCTTGTACCTGATCTGCCCGAATAACCAATGGCAACCAATAAATAAATGCTAATTTCTACTGTAGATTGTAACCAATGGCAACTGTTAATAAATAAAAATAAAATTTCCAATTTCCATCGTGAATCTCAATGTCCCTGTTTGAGCACTTATTTAAAATGCGAATTTTGGCAAATCCTTTCTTATTGCACGGTGGAAATATGAGAAGACTCTCTATTCCAAATTACAAGTCCGTACGTTGAGTCGTTTTTGAGATACAGCGATCAGTGAGTCAGTGGTATTTGGATTTTATATGTATAGATAACTAATTATTGACTAACATTATCGGACTTTATTTATGCCTAAAACTTGCTCCGTGATATCCTCTTTCATTTAAAAAAAAGGTGGGTAAGTGGATGTCGCTCTGCTGTACAGTAGGTTACAAGTGGGTCACTGTATAATGGATGGTATTAAATTTGAATTCAATGATACAATATCATTGTATAAGAAAAACGATTCTGAGCGAAGACGGTATGTCAGTCTAGGTTTAAGACATATTATATTATATATGGTATTAAAAAATAATTGAACCTATAATAAATTCCAAATTAATCATATCACAATATCCATTAGGAACTTATAACAAGTTATACATCAATAACAAACCCTGATACTATCATAGATATATAATTAGTGTACTTTAGAAGTTTCAAGTACCCACGAATAGTATTATACACTCACAACAAAATAACTAAAATAAGTATGCTAGGTTTTTTAATATGTAATTTTGTCCCAAATTTGAACTTAAAATGTCTGTAAAAAATAACTGTGCTCATATATTTTTTAGATTTTTTGGCTACAGTATGAACTATTTATGAGAATCTTTTTTTTTAAATTTTCAATCCTTAGCTATAAAAACTGAACATTTTATAATTTATTAATTACGATGATTGATAATTTTCGAGATTTTGATAAATTTTGTCAAAATGCGATCTTTAAATGCTTATAAAAAAAAATTGTGCCTCTGTATTTTTAATATTTTTCAATTGCTATTGTAACAATATATCAGGAGCCTTGTATTAATTTTTTACACTTTTTGGTCCAACAGATTAAACTTTATTGATATTTATAGAAAAAAATAAACTAAAAAAATTGAAAACTGAAAATGTCTGTAAACGGCTCAAAAAGAGTCAAAATATTTTCAAAATTGTATGGTGTATAGGAAATGCTAATATAAACATTCAGTGAAATTTTCATGTATTTACAGTAATTCGTTTTTGAATGACAACAAAATAAGGAAATCGCCACATGAGAAATCGAGTGAATATCCAATGTTGTAAAAATTTGAATTTCAAACGCTCATAAAAATTTAATTTGACTTTCTTATAGATTTTTTTTTTTGATAAATGTAGGAAATCTTATAAGGAATCTTGTATTACATTTTCATATCTTAGATTTAAAAAGAAAATTTTTTATGAATTTCGAACTCGAAATAATTTGCAAATTTTCGTAATTTTTCCATATTTTGTCATTTTTTGAATTTTAAATGCTTAAAAAAAAAACTGTGACTAACGATTTTTAATATTTTTCATCTGTCTTTGAAACAATATAGTAGGAGCCTTGTATTAAATTTTCAAGTATTTTTACTCAACAAATAAATTTTTATTGATATTCATAAAAAAAAAACTAATAAAATTGGAAACTGAAAATGTCCCTAAACAGTTCAAAATAAATCAAAATATTTTGAAAATGTTATCGTGTATAGAAAATGCAAATATAAACAACCACTGAAAATTTCATGTATCTACGGTCATATTTTTTAAAGTTACACCAAAAACCAAAATCGATTTTTTGGAAAACCGATTTTGCGTAAAAATTCCCGTTTTTCCTTAATTTTTATTTTGTTTTTCCCGGCGCTTTTGAAAACTACTGGGAAATTTAAATGTTGACCTCCCCAATGCACCAACGATATTCACTTTCCAATCGAACAAGATACTGAAGTTGAAAATCGAAGCATTATTTCGACTACTTATCGTGTACACAGACACAAAAAAAATTTAAAAAAAACACACATCATTGTAAAATCAATACATTCATCGTTTCACTCAGAATCTAAAACTGCATGACAATTGGATAAGAAGTTTGAAGCCAAACCGTAACAAAGATTTCCTCTTTTGCTTGATTTCAGTTTTATATAATATTATATAGATTATAAATATTAAACCTTATGTTGTCTTATTAACATAATACATTGTATTCCATTTTACTCATATGAATCAAATTCCTTATAAAGTTTTAATAAATTGCTGAAAGTGTACAATATGTAGGATGTAGGAAGTATAACCTATGATATAATGTGTTACAATTGTATAATATTGAATCTAATACTATCATAGTACAAACAATATAATATTATTTGCATTATTTGGTACGACTGCGTCCATCTGAAACTATGTTCAAACTCCTCCCTGGATCTAGGATCAAAATTGAATTATATTTTTTGTTGTTGTCAAATTCAATCATAATATTTTTTCTGCTAAAATAGACGCCTATAGTAAATAAAATTCAAATCAATTATTACATATTCATTATCCTCCAGTGTATTACAAAGGTAATTATAAATAAATAATAGGTTATTCATACTATTATAGTCCAATGGCACTTGATGCGTACCATTCGTTTGTTACGCATGTGACACACATGTGTCACGCATAGTGGTACTTATTTATTATCGAAATAACTACTGTTTTACTTAGGTACATAACATTTAAATTAGCTCCAACTACTAACTACAAATAACTTGACTCAGAGGTTAATATTATTTTAAGTTATAATAAAGTAAGAACGTTTTAAAACGACAAATGATAATTGATGTATAATAAAGACTTAAAGTTAGCAAAATCCTTAGGTATTTTATATAGCTACTTATTTTGTTTGTTTAATTATTTTAACACATTGAAATAATTCTTGTATGTCATAATGTGTCATAATTTCTGCAGTAGTATATATTTAATTTGTGACAAAAATAGCATAGTTCATAAATTGGTATTTGTCAGCCATATTATTTTTTATAACAATTAATAATTTTTATTGTATTTTTTAAGAATTGGACTTTGCATTCAGTAAAATTATGGATTTAATTGAAAACAATAAAGATTCTAGTAAGACGGTTATTTTGTGGAAAAATGAAAATCCTCTGGTTAAGGGCCCATCTGTATCATTTCTAGAAAACTTCCACCAACGTAATGATCATTTATATAAAGTACCCACTGGAATAAGTGAACACTTTTCAAATTCGGTGTTAAAAGCGAGCGAAGATTTAGTAAATGGAGTGGTTGCAGATTCCAAACGGGTGGTTCAGTGCTACTTACAAATGAATAAGTAAATTAGAAACTGATAAGTGATAACTATATTATTCTATATTTAAGTAAATAGTTAGGTACGGTACATTTAATATTATTATTTTAGCTATACAACTGAATCATTATTGAAATAAGTTTAAAAACGAAAGTTAATATTCTCTAATAAGTTAATATTAGAATTTAGAGGTATAGGTTCTAGGTACTAGGTAGGTATAATTGGTAGGTAATATAATTTATATATCAATTAAATAATTATAGTTTAGATATCAACAATGTTGTTGATTACATAAATTGTATTATTAATTCAAATTCGTAACATGTACCTTGTACCTACTACCTATACATTCTACAGAATAGTTAATTTTAAATAAATTATATTATATAGGTAGCTGTAAATTGACAAGATATGTATATAGTGTAACTTAAGTATTACGCTGTACAACTAATTAAAAAGCCTATCAGCAGTAACTTTTAATTTATATAAGAAAAACCAAACCTATATTTATAAAATTAACTTTGAAATACCTATTACAAATCACAATGAATTACTCTCGAAGCAACTTTTTGTAATACTTTTAGATTAGGATTTCCAAACTCTGGCTATGACAGTGAAAATATAGTGATAAATATGAATGCAGTACAAGTATGTAAAGACAGGGCTAAGTTAGATTCCAATCATTCATTGTTTTCTAACCCAAGCTGGTTCAACGAAAACGGAATTTTCGACGATCAAGTAGCCATAGCAAATATTTCCGGCTATATAAAACAGCATTGGAACTTGGAAAAAAAATACTTATACACTGTTGAGAAGTCATTGCTAAAAATGTTTGATATTTCTTGTCACGGTTACAAGGTAAGCCTAATGCATTATTTCAAACCGTTAAGCTATTATATAGGTACATGGCTCATTTTTATTTGCACTTTTGGAGCACAATTCAACAATTATCAATTCATAATAAAATAAAATATATAGAAATCGATACAGACCTTAATCATCTTAATCCAAAATAAAGCCTATAATTTATCTTAAAGTATTAATAAAATCAATTTGTATATTGCCTATACTCTGAAGTATAAAAAGTAGCTATTAAGATTATAAACATTTATTTTCCACTGAATTTTTTACTCGAAAAGTATACACCTTCCCCATATACTATAAATAGTATCAATGATGACTGCGGTAATAATTTTTTTTTTAAATCCAATTTCATAGAACAAAAAAAAAAATAACACCATTTAATTTGTATATCATGGCTTTTGAGTTTATAAGAGTTTCTGTTCTGACATCCTTATAACGTTGCAGGCAGAGTTTTCGGTGTCTACCAATGAGTATCCGATTCCTCAAGTTACAGTAAGTGCGTTTTTCACGGTAAATGTAACTCATGTACTGTCACTTCCGGCGGTGTACGTAAGTTGATAACATATTTATTTAATTAAACTACCTACGTATGCTATTATGTATTGTCTAATAAAATATTACGACGTGACAAAGTTATTTATTGACCTACTATATTATAATGCCATGTGACGTGTATGTGTCGTAGATAAAATATCAGTTGGAGATGGACAGACATGTTTACGTCGTAGGTAGGCACTCATTCAATAAGAAACATTTCGAGCGCCAGTTTAAAATAAAACGCTACTTATACATGGACATCAACAAGCAGAGCCGTAGCAATGTTTATTAGCGCTCCTGGCCATTTATCATATTTCCGCCCTTATAAATTTTTTTAACCCCCCCCCCCTCACACACACATATAAAAGACTTATGCATTCGCTATTTTATTTTTAAAATAGTAAAAATTATAATATTAATAAAAAAAAACAATAGTAAACACTGCCAAACTTATTAAAACCTTATAAAATAATCAAAAAAAAATTTTTTTTTACATTTCAAAATTTCACTTTTCGTGCTTTTTTGGTAGTATATAATTAAACTCCACTTTAGAAGGTTTATATTTTTTTTTATTAAGAGTATACTAGTACAGTAGTACGTATACTACACATGCGTTTGTTGTCTCCGTATTACAAACCTACGACATAGCAAATTTTCGTTCACTAGTTTCAATAATGTGCTGTTAGTTTTTATATCAATGGTGATGGTCAATTATTAATATTAACTAATAACTATGGACCTATTATTAAACTTTTAGTTTAGAACATTAGCTGTGCTTAAGCGTCGACTTTTATTCGATATTTAAATTTCCAAGCAAGATATAAAAATATAAAATATCACAAATTAAAAATGCTCTTATCCCGCTTGAAAATTAAAATATGGAATAAAATCAGACGCTTAAGCATAGATAATGTTCTTAACTAAAAGTTTAATAATAGGTCAAAACACTCTAAATATAAAAACTCACAGCACACTATTGTAACTAGTGGACGAATATTTGCTATGTCGCTCGTAAGTGAAACCGACAACAAAAGGATTGGTAACGTCCAGATATAATTTAAAAATAAAATCTTTTAAAATATAATTTAAGAAATAAATTTATATTTTCAATAAGGAAATAAAATTTCTCAGACTCATTAAATTTATGTTTAATCATTAAACTGAATTAAAGATATTTTTTTATCGATATCACTATCAAGCTAGTTGTCCAAATTACTCTATAATAATAATGATAAATATCTAACCTTAGATTATCAAAAATAGTCCGTAGGATTAAAACAAATAAAATAAAATAGATACTTGGTGTGAACTGTGAAGATAATTTTTAAGACAATATTAGACTAATATTAATTATTATTTCTTTTTCTTAACTCCAAATAAGATTTAGAGGATTTTAAAATAATTAATCAATTAATTGAATAAACGTATTATTTTTTTAAATAGGTGAACGGTGAACAAACTATCTTAATGTATTACTTAAATTCAAATTTGATCGATAAAAACCTACGAATGTTAATAGTGACTTCTTGTATACCAGTATACCTACTAGATATTTACTATTTACATTCTTATAAACAATTATTTTGTATAAACCTAGGTTACAACTTAATACTTTTATTAATATATTATGAACTACAATTAAGTAAATTAATTTAATTTTGTATAATTATAATTAATAATAATTAGGAATTCACCGTAGAACTGTTATGGAAGTTCTTCCTTTCACTGACTAATCTAAAATGACTAAATATTGAAATAGGAGGATCTACCTACCTATAAATATGACGACTGACGGGACTAAGGGAGTCTTTAAAATATAATAAATTTAGAATCCTAATTTTAACTACATGCAGCTAATATTTAATAATAATGATCGATTTTCAAAACTACCATGTTGATAATTGACTTGCGTGCCGAGATGGTTGTATAAGCAGCAGTTTAAAGTTTTAAACAACTATCAACACAAATAAAAACACACTATTATCGGCTACTAACTGTTCTTAAAATATCACTCGGGTACCCGGGCCTAATATTACGTAATATTATAATGAGTTATTATTCTTAAACACCTGTAAATAATAATTGTAATATTTGTATAATATACAATACCTACATGGCTACACTATAAAATAGTAGGTATATAGACACTAATCACTATAATAGTATAATGTACTTATAGTAATAAAACTATTTTGTGCATATTCTAGTAAAATGTAAATTATTAAGAATACCAATAAATAATAATAACATATGTATCTATATATATTGTATGGTATATTTTATTCTGGATTTCGCGCCCCTTTTTCGTTGCGCCCCTGGCCTGGGCCAGTCTCGCCAAGCCCTAGCTACAGCTCTGTCAACAAGTATACTGGGTGGTCGTCATCCGGACCAAGTCAAGCATAGACAGCATAGATTTCAATTCTTGAAACAAAATATTATATGAAACAAAAACTAAATTTTCAGTTGTCTCCGTTGTGTTTGTTAGACATGTATATTGACTGTTAGTCGATGAAATAAATTATCATTATATTGTAGGTATCACATGATTATTACGCGTTTTTTTATATTGTTTTCAAATCGGATCAGGAGTCTTCATGCACCATTGAAGTGTTTACATTGCTATGTAGTATTTATTTGACTAAATAATTAAATAATTATTCAATTACTACACATTTATATTATTATAGATGTAGATTGTTAAATGTGCGTAAATCATAAAAGATATTGTCATATCTTTCTGTTCATTTTAGTTCTCAGATTTCAACACTTTAAATGCAATCTAATATCTAAATATTATTTTAAGTTCAAAAAGTTAATATTTTAATTTCCCAGCAGCAACTAGCAAGTATCTAAAAATACTAATGCTTATAACTCTGTCTTATATATGTATGCATATTTATTAGTTTAGCATGAAAGTAAATCTTATAGAGTGCACCTTTCTCTATTTAACATGTATAGGGTTGCATACTGCATTTTGTAAAGTTATATAATATATTCTTGGGCAATAATCAACTGTCGCATATTAATTTAAAAAAAACATATTTAATGTTTTACAATTTTTAATTGCACAGAAATGTAATGACTCTTTCGAGTATCGTACCTACGTATGGTAATTATAAAAATAATGTTATAATGTTATATTTATATACAACTACATAAGTAACATACTTACATACTTTACAGTAAACCAGCTAGGTATTAATAATTCCAACTACAACTACTATATAGGTATTAGGTACAATGATTTTTAACACACAGATAATAACAGCGCTTAGTGATTTCCAAAGCTGTCTTTAATTTTTTTTTTTTTTTTACTTGTTTTCTTCCAACTAAAATAACTAATGAGTTGATTATTTTTATATTAATTTGTGCAATGTCATTAATCATTATCTATGCTTGATAATTTTTTTTAATTAATTACTCATCACCGAACACTTCAGAAGACTATAGTTAGACATTTTAGTAGACTCAACAGTTCTACTTGGGCATTGTCCGCTAAACATTTGTTAGTATAAAAATATGTATAGTCAACTACTCAAATAACAATAAAAACAATAATAATTCGCACGTGTTATTACTTATTGAATACCGTTCGAGTGCACATTAAACAAGTAACAACAAAAAAACAACAAAAACGAAAAACCCTCTTTAAACTATGAGAAAGAAAACGATAGAATTAAATATGGTGGTGGTATATTGTGTGTTTGACAGGAGAGAGGGGAGTCCAGTCCAAGGTGGCCAGAAATAAAAATTTCGGGAGTGTCTACCTAATAAAAGTTTAACTACACTAAGACCTGTGCCGTCGCCGCCACCACCGGCGTATACGACACATGGTGAAAGGCGGCTATAAAGGCGGTTTTTTACGACCGACGGAGAATTCTGTTGAGTAGGTGGGGAAATAATAAGAGTAAAAGAGAAGAAAAACTTAGATATATAGGAGCAGAACAAAAAAATTACCAATTATTCCGTCGTATCGCCGGGTGTCGTTTTGGTGTCCGTGATTTTTTTAATAAGTCGTAAAATATGATTATATTATTTAAAAAAAAAACTACATGGCAGAATAGTATAAATGGTGGCTCCATGTTTTTTTTTCGTCCACCGCCGCCGGTCGTTAAACGATATTTTAAGACCGATACTTTTTATTTTGGCTCTTTATATTTTTATTTTTTTATTTTTTGACAGCAGTCTCACCAAAAATAAACGTGGACTTATTATTTTTTTGTTTTCAATTTTTATTTTTATTTATTTATTATTATTATTTATTTTTTTTATATAGGCCCCGCAAAGCAATAACAACATCGGTTCATCCAAGAACCGGTTGAGAAGACGGGGGGTGGCCACACGCACAAAAAGTGCGCACTCCCCCGACCCAAATACGGTTAAGTGCAGATTTTGCTAGATTTATTTTTAGTGTAGTTTTTTGCACGCATCTGCGTTCTTTTTAATTAGACACAGCGTTTTCATAATATATACAGACTTCCTTCAATCGACGGCAGCAAAAGGAGGATTACAGGAATTGTAGGTATACGGCATAAAAGGAAGAGCGAAAAAAAAAATAATAGTCTAAATTCATACGCTTCTGTAAGACATTTTTTCATGGGTCATGCCTATGAATGTTTCTTTGTAAAAAAAATAAATCTGACCAAATTGGTATTTTACAATCGATAAAGGTTCAAATACCGCGGTATGTTAGTATTTTTTTTTTTTTAGTAGTGTGCCATATAATTTAACCACATTTTATACGATTTTGTAGTAATATAAGCGAACAATATTAAATATTTGGTATAGGTAGTTGGAAAACCAAGTTGCGTGTTCGATATTGGAGCAATGACTTAAAACTAATAATTTAATGTCTAACTTCAGAAGGAGATAGAAAAGCTATATCGCTTTCGATTAAAATATTATGTTAACCAATTTCTAATTTCTCGGTGTTTTCCTTCGTATATTTATTTTGTAAGACGTTATTTTTTTGAATTGTAAGATAAAACCTTTGGTTATACGAAAAAAGCAACTCACAATTTTACAATCAGGAAATGTAGGTATTTAAAATTGTTGGTCAGTAAATTGTACACATAATAATTTTAATTCATCCCACATATCCGAATTTAGCCATATAGATTATAGGTACAGTTCTACGTTGTTGAATGAAAGTAAACAATAAATTACCAATAATTAAAACTTATTTACTTACACAAAACTGTATACAACTAATGAAAGAATTTAGGAGCATATAAAAAGGTGCAGTCTCCAAAAACACGTGCACTGTGACTGTTTTCCCACAACAAATAATAG